GTACAACATTTGGTTTGGTGTTGGCCCATTTGGCTTTATGAATGAGGTATTTCTTGTACAAAGTACCTCAAAGTGATACTTGAGTAACATTACTAGTATCTTATAAAAATACTTTGGTAAAAGTTAAAGTCTTCTCTAAAAATATTACTTGAGTAAAAGTCTTAAAGTATCTGATATTTTTTGTACTTAAGCATCAAAAGTAAATTTCTGATTCAAAATCTACTTAAATATTAAAAGTAAAAGTACTGAGTAAAAGTGAGCAGTTAGATTTTCCAAAATGGCACTTATTGGGAGGTGACTTCTCCAAAATATGTTTTTTTTCTAACGGCATGCAGCTGTGATGGGTTGTGTACAAGCTAATACGGTGTCAGAATTTATACTTCTCATCCAACCACAATTAAATTCATGCTATCCAGAAGACACAATTTATCTGGATAGTATTTTTTAAGTAATAACAACTCAGAATAAAATAGGAGTAACGATTTTCTACTTCTTACCTTTTTAAAAAATGTAGTGAGTAGAAAGTACAGATAATTGTGTAAAAATGTAACGAGTAACGGTGAAAARTAATTACTCAAGTAAAGTACAGATACCCAGAAGTTCTACTTAAGTACAGTAACAAAGTACTTAGTCCTTAGTTACTTTAAAGCTCTGAACAGTAGACTGCGAACAGGTCAGGGTGACTGGCTGATTGAGAACAATCAGAGGAAACTGACACAGGAATATTAACACAAGTATGTACGGAAATACAAAAAGGAAAAATATCTGAACTGACAAGAAAACAGATCACAGAAAAATGAACTAATAAACTCAAAGAACTACTGAAGTGATAGAATAGAGAATAGAATAGAAACAGCCTTTATTGTCCCAAAGAGGAGAAATTCAGGTGTAACAGCAGCAGCAGGTACATCAATCCACAAAACAACATATTGCTGTGCAGGATGATCAGATCCCGAAAACCTGAATGTGAGACAAAAAATGCTTATGAGGGACAATGTGGGACACATCACCACAACCTTTATTTCATTATAGATCTCATATCACATTAATTATTCTCTGCTTTGGCTGTTAGTGAACAACAATGTGTTAAGTTTTTTATTCAATTTTTTTTTAAGTTTATCAGAAAAATCTTTGGTTAAAACACATTCTTTAAAATTTAACATTTAAAATTTTAGCATAATAATAATATGAAATAAAAAAATAAAACCATAACCAGGTCCACACAAGTCCAAACCTGTTAGTAGAACAGGTGTTCTGAATGACTGAGCAGCTTCTAAACCAGGGGTGGGCAATCCTGGTCCTCGAGGGCCGCAGCCCTACATGTTTTATGTTTTCCCTGCTCCAACACACCTGATTCAGTCACTGATTTACCTTCCAARTTCTGCAGTATGGAGGACCAAAACTGACATAATTATAAATAAAAGCAGAAATATATAAATGAACCACTAAATAAATAAATACACTTAAAATGCACCAATTCAATTAAAAAAGAACTTCACCTCATGTTTTGTAATTTAATTCTCGTTTAATTGATGTTTTTAACACACTTCAAATTTGACTGTTTTTTAAAATATATATTTTTCAGTTCTACTTTTTACTTGTACATACATTTGTCTCTTAAATGTTTAAATTCAAATATTTTTATAGTTTTGTCCCACAAGTCTTTTTTATTTCGATGTGTTGCAGGCATGTGCTGCCTCAGTTTAGCTTAAAGTTTAAAGTTTAGTTAAAAAAAAGGCACGGGTAAGTTTTTCTCCTTGCCTTTGTTTTAAACTAAAATTTAAAGACTCGTGGGAAAAATATAAAAATAATTAAGTATAAATATTTAAGAGACACAAATGCATGCAGAATTTAAAGGAAAAACAATAAAATATGTATGTTAAAAACAATAACATTTAAATTATGTGTTAAAATATATAGACTAATTTATATTAACGTGGAAAAATAAATATTCAAGTCATTTCAAACAAAAACATGAGATAAAGTTCTCCTTTGTTATTTTAATTGGTACATTTTAAACGTATTTATTTCTGGTTCATTTATATAATTCTGCTTTTATTTATAATTATGTCAGTTTCGGTCCTCCATACTGCAAGAAGCCTGATAATCATCCATTCATTCATATCAGGTGTGTTGGAGSAGAGAAGCAAGTAAAACATGCAGGGCTGCGGCCCTCCAGGACCAGGATTGCCCACCCCTGTTCTAAACACTGCTGTTATCTGTCTGTCTGACCATAGATTGACAGATAACATTATATAACTTATGATAAAACATAATTTTCACACAATGACCGTTTGTCTGTGGCTTATTGTGTTTTTTTTTTTTTTCTTTCTATGAGCAGAGAGTGACAGTGTGGTTATTATAGTGACCCTAATGAGCCACTGGCAGCAGATTTAACATTTCTTGGATCCTGGYTCTGTTCTTAAACATCAAGACTTTAGCCTTTTTTACACYTCAAATTATTACAAAAACAAGTCCMAAATTACTGTTGGGTTTCAGAAGGAAAGTGATGGTTTTTGTGCAGAAGCTGTGTTGGCACTTTGCAGGATTTCTTCAGAAAAAGTCCCAATTTTTTCTCACTGATTTTGGAGTTACATTCTTTGGCCTGCACCTCACAGATAAATGCGTGATCAACAGGACCCAGTGGACCACTGTTAGACATCTGAGGACCATAAATAAATTTGGATGGCCTCAAAGCCTCTTACGACAGAGCCCGCTTACGGTTCCCTTTCCGTGCACAGCATCCTTGAATAGACTACACAAAGATCCTTAAGCCAAAAATCCCTCCTTGGTATTTAATTCTAAATGAGTAATTACTGGGTGTGTCAGTGTGTCTTAGGTTTGCAGGTAGACTGYGTGACGGAGCTCATTTGCACACCGGCTTTAGAGGGAATTGCGCTCTCTCTCTCAGACCCACAGATTCTGAAGGTGAGTGGGCATCCCCAGGAAGCTGCTGAAGAACCCGGTCCTGTAGGGGGCACAGACCACAAACAGCCACCAAGATGTGTGACATGGGGGGTCTGGATAACCTGGTGGCCAACACGGCCTACCTGAAAGCCCAGAGTGGGGATGACAAGGAGATGAAGAAGCGCCGTCGCAGCTTGGCTCTCCCTAAACCAGATCAGTGTGCTGCCCTCAGAGATTCCATCGACAAGGACTTTACTTCACTTTGTGAAAGGCAGCCAATAGGGAAAAAATTGTTCCGTGAATTCTTGGCCAGTAACCCAGAGTTTATGCTTGCGGCTGAGTTCCTGGATGAGTTGCAAGACTGGGACCTGGCTGAAAGTGCGAACAAAGACAAAGCACGCCAGGTTGTCATGAACAAGTACTGCAAAGCTGACTCTAAGTCCTTCCTGACCTTTCTTACTGGGGAGGCTGCTGAAAAATGCAAGTCTGTCACAGATGCCAACTTTGAAGAGGTGATGAAAACCAAAGTCCAGGAAGGTGTAAGAGATTTTCTGAAAGGCAAACCGTTTAAAGAGTACCAGACCAGCTCGTTCTTTGACAAATTCCTTCAATGGAAAGAGTATGAGAAACAGCCCATCACCGATAAATACTTCTACGAGTTCAGAACTCTGGGCAAAGGAGGATTTGGAGAGGTAAGCATGGACATGGAAATCAAATATTTGTTTCAGGAAGCAAACCTTCAGACCCGACTCAGTTTGTTTGTCTCTTCAGATATCCTAGCAATAATTATATCTCCTAAAGACGTTGAATAAATTAAATTCCTTAAAACATTTCAAGGACAGAGATGTGGTTGCAATTAAATATAAGAAATTATGTTTACTTCATCGTTTGACAAAAAGTACATTTCTAATTGCTGCAAAGTCAGAGAACTACCATTCACTAAAGTATTGCATATCATCCAATACTTTACAAGCCAAAGTTGTAAGCAAAGAGTTCATCATCTCTTAGTTCTCATGTYTGAAATGACTCAATTACCATATCAAGGTTTAGCTCAATAACTATAAAAGTATTTGAGTTACAGCTATTTTAGTGTTGGCTAATCAGCTCTGGTGGTCTTCAATCAGCTGACACCAAAGGTTAATCAGTTGTAGATTRATATTCAATAATTGCAACGAGAAGTTCATTAARATTTGTCCACTGAGAGACATCTGGATATGAAATATTTTGCTAACAGACAGACAAACAAACATACTGTGGCAGGCAAGAGAAAGCTTGAATTCAGCATAACAGTGAACTACAGGTGTCCTGTAAGTCAGCCCTGAGGGATCCCTCTAAGGGTTAGATATGAATGAAACATGTAGCCATCAGCTTGAGAAGCYTGTACAAATACTGAGCCTTTTGTTCTTTAAAAGTAAAGGTATGGTTGTTGCTCCTAATGCAGTTTAGATGTTTGTATATCTGCTTCTTTTGTGGGAATATGTCCATGTTGATGTAGAATGAAGGATAAAGGTTTAATAGACGTGACGGAGACAAATGTTCCATCAAAATCCATTTAACAACTGGAGGGAGTCATGATCAGCTCTACCAATGGTTCTGAGTAGATTCATTAAATGACACTCATTCAATTCATTTTGGTCATTTTTATCCAAGCAAGACAAAGTTCCTGCGTCCTCCAGAACTGATGGCCTGATACCAGAACTCTGTGTTTGTGGTTTGAAGGAGACCTGAGACCATTGGTTTGTTTCCCTGCAGGTTTGTGCTGTGCAGGTGAAAAACACGGGTCAGATGTACGCCTGCAAGAAGTTGTGTAAAAAGCGCCTGAAGAAGAAGGGCGGAGAGAAGATGGCCCTGTTGGAGAAGCAGATCTTGGAGAAAGTTAACAGCCTGTTTCTGGTCAACTTGGGCTATGCCTATGACACCAAGTCCCACCTGTGCCTTGTCATGACCCTGATGAACGGAGGAGACCTCAAGTACCATATTTACAACATCGGCTACGACGGCAAAGGTGTAAACAAAGGCATTGAGATGAAACGCATCATCCACTACACGGCGCAGATCACCACCGGCATCCTGCACCTGCACGCCATGGATATTATATATCGTGACATGAAGCCAGAGAATGTGCTGCTGGATAGCCAGGGCCAGTGCCGACTTTCAGATTTGGGTCTGGCCATACAGATCCCTGTTGGGAAGACYGTCACCCAGATGGTGAGTAGATGAACACACGGAAACACTTCTTTCTGCCTTATTTACATTCAATGTCTACGGATGATTTTAAAATACTTTTCCCAGATCATCTTAAAATAAGAATACAATCGATTGTTGGGTGGCAGATTAATTTCAGGCTGCAGACATACTGCCACCCCTGCTGCGTTTTTAATTTTAAATCCGGACAGGCATTATTGGTTTGTTGAAAGACCTTTGCGATCTTTGAATCCATTATATAACTCATTTGATCCTTACGCAGTGAGGTTGGCCTCCATCTTGTTCCATGTCAGAGTCTGYTAAGAGACACCAAGTTTCCCTTTAGATGAAGAGGAATATAAAGCTGCCATTTTCTGACAATAAAATGATTGCAGCCTTACATTACTTAAAGAGCATTCGTAGAACAAGATGTGTCCTTTCTTGTCTTATAAAATGCAGACCGTGTGTTTAAGTCACCCACATTATGACTAAAACATAAAGAATTTTGCTGCAGTTTCTTTTTAGGACTTACTTGCAGGAGCAAAGAGTAAGCTCTTGGCTCTGTGAAAGTCCACTAAGCTTATTATCAGCACTCCGATGCTCCTCAACCAGCCAAAGTGACTGGGCTAACCTGTTACAGGCAAGGCTGCCTTTGGTCCTGTAATCCTCTTATAGGGTATTACACAAGTCTGTCCCTGATTAGATCCACTGACTCGGGTAAAATGTACACTGGATACATTCAGCCGTGATAGTTTGAAAACAGTTTTCTCATTGATCAATGTTTGGAAATTCATTCTGTTGATTCAGAGTTAAACGTGTGGTCTTTTTAAAKTTCAATAACTCTAGGTCTGTGTTTCTGCCACAGGTGTGCATCTGTTGCAACCTGAGTGTGAGTAGAGGGCAGATACAGTATTKCAGACAAGTCTTTACATTCTTAATGTATTAATAATGATGAGATGCTGAGTGCTGTCCATCAAAGATAACACAGCATTGATCAGGTTGATCAAAGGATCAACAGGAATTCTCTTAAATGATTCTGCAGCTGATTATTATTGTATATGCAGCAGCAAATAGAAATAGTTTGTGGTCCAATGTGTTTGGATGTATTTCTGCTGGTGGTCATAACCTCCAGAAATGACCCAACTTTACATAAGACAGTCAGAGTGCAGACACACACAGCTCTTGAYAGCTAGTAGGCTTAGAATTAGGATTAAGCTTCTGGTTTAAGGCAGTCAGTGGGGTCACACAGGGAAAGGGAAAAGAAAAAGTAGTTGGGGGGTCGGGGGTGGGGGTGTTAGGAAATAAGAAGGAGGGAAAAAAAGGGAAAGTGAGATTCAAAAATGTTATGTCCATGCTTTTGAAAATATGGTGACTTTTTCATGTCCCTGTAAACGAAGAACTCAAAGGCTGACAGCTTACTGGAAATGTGATTGTAAACTGGAACGACTGATTATAAGTTGTTTTACATGGTGGAGCAGTCCTGCAACAAGAACCTCCTCCTTCAACCATATGAGCATGTAGATTTATGTTTTCTCTAAACATCTTTCTGACATTAATCTGTGAACCATTGTGGTATTGTAGCATTGCATAGCCATTGTTGTTTTCCTGATGCTGGAAGACATTCTGGCTATATCAATATCTGGGACACTGACTTCTGTAGTGGTAAACCTAGTAGCCCTCTTTCTCTGGAGAAACTGACAATAACAGGTTTATCAGTCAGACCTAATGAAATTTCAGTTTTCTTTGCAGTTATTCAGATCTCTCGATTCTGCCCCCATCTCCTTTGTCCAGGCTGGTACAGGAGCATACATGGCCCCTGAGATCCTCTCCAAAACCCCATACCGGACATCCGTGGACTGGTGGGCCCTGGGCTGCAGCATCTACGAGATGGTGGCCGGCTACACGCCTTTCAAAGGCCCTGAGAACAAAAAGGAGAAGGTGGAGAAAGAAGAGGTGCAGCGCCGGATCATCAATGAAGAGCCAAAGTGGGAACACAAGTGCTTCGACGATGTCACCAAGGATATCATCCAACAGTTCCTCAAGAAGAAACAAGAAGAACGCCTGGGCATGAAGTAAGACCACCTTCTTTTAGTTTGTGGTCAGAGGCTTTTGTAGAGTGTAACTCTAGTGAAGAAATTTAAACATTTTAACTCGTTGAGGGGAAATGTGTGGCGTGCTAAGTATAAAAGGAAGTGTTAAAAAATTTCACTAACATATTTTTCATTTTTTAGCTCACTCTTCTTACATTTAGCTCATTTTTGCTAAGATTTCAATTTAAATGTTAAAGATATTTAAATATTAAATCCTAAATCTAAATGTAAAAGTTAAACCTTAAATGTTGAAGTTCATATTTAGGAATTTTGAATAAAACACAGGCCTTGCTGTTGGTTCTCAGTTCATGTTATGATGTCAGCATATTGAGAAAATAGGAACTGTTATGAAGCATTAGCAGATGTTAGTGTTAGATAACCAGGATGATATCATCCTTCAACAAACATCAACAATAGCAGGTAGCCACTGCTAATGCTAATGAAGATAATATTTAAAATCTACATTTAAAATGTCTTCATAAAAACAATAAGGGTGGTTCCTCTGGTCTAACAGTTTGAAGTGCAGCTCAGATACCAGCTGCATTGGAGCTAGCAGTTGCTATTGTCTTAGGATGATGACATCATAACATGAGCTGAGCACAAACAGCAAAGGCTGCATTTCATTCCAAAATACTTCAACATTTAAGGTATAATTTTTACATTTTGATTTAAACATTTAATATTTAGAATTTAATATTTAACTATATTTTCATAATTTAAATTTAACATTTAGTAAAAATTAGCTAAATGTAAGAATAGTGAGCTAAATGAAAAATATGTTAGTGAAATTTTTTTAACGTTTCATTTTACACTCAAAATGTTAGTTTGTTCCAAGTTTTGTGACTTGTGCTGACAGCCAGTTTGCATCCTGTTTGAAACCGTGATGTCATCGACTTACCAAACTTACCGAGGTTGTCCTCTTTTTCTGTGGTATTTTACATTGTGTGCTCAGTGTAATTAACATTATATGCTGCACACATTGTTTCCTATTTTTATTGTGCAGTATTTTCATGGCAGCGTTAGATCACCACATATAGGTTTGGCAGTGTTATGACCGTATTTTTGGTAGTTCAGGTCATTTTTTTGGTGTTTCTGTGTGAATGAAGACATTTCTTAACAAAATTAATTTATATGTCGTTTTAGAAAAAAACATGTTTGTTTTTGGACAACGCTTACAATATATATTTTTTTATCTTTTCAACAGGAACAACATGGAGGATCCGAGAAAGCATGACTGGTTTAAGAGCATCAACTTTCCCCGTCTAGAGGCAGGCCTGGTGGATCCTCCCTGGGTCCCCAAACCCAACGTGGTCTATGCCAAGGACACGGGTGACATTGCAGAGTTCTCTGATGTCAAGGGCATCGTGTTTGATGCCAAGGACGATAAATTTTTCAAGGAGTTCAACACAGGAGCTGTGCCCATCCAGTGGCAGCAGGAGATGATCGATACCGGACTGTTTGAGGAGCTCAATGACCCCAACAGGAAAGAAGGAGGAGGTTTGGATGATGAAAAGAAGTCTGGCACGTGTATAATGATGTGAGCTGGCACAAGTTCACCATGCAACACCTAATCAGACTCATGTATTTGTTTTCTTTGTCTGAAGCGCAATAACATCAATRTCAAAAAAGGTAAAATCCAGGAGATTGTGAGCATCTGTGTTGGGACCATCTTTTTTTTGTAAGTATGCTCCTGGTTTAGAGATCAGCTGCTCTTGAGGCTCAGTAAAATATCAAAAATGCAATGATGGATTTTACATGTTTCCTGTTTGAAGACATRAATATTTAATTTTTTAGCCACTTTAACCATGACAGCTAGCAGTATTTRCAGTGATGATGTTAGAGGAGTACGCCAGAAAAACAGTTTAATGTGAGACAAAACTGTCAAAGACAATAAAGCGGGGTTTGCCTGATTATTATTTAGTCAAATTGTTCTTAAGTTTAGAATTGTAACCAAACTGGGAAAAACAGATTTAAAAATCTGTAAACTGAGGAATTTTTTGTAGCATTTTCTGTATTTTGTTGATACCACCATAAAGCCACACTGTTTCTATGATGAAAAGTGCTTTAAAATGACACTTGGCAGAAAAATTTCTGGTTTTTTTTCTTTACTGTTGTGATCTTAAACCTTACGATTATGAATGATCACATTTACGTCAGGGTGGTTGTTCAGCCACCCGACATGTTACCTTTACACCACATAAAAAACAGTTGTTTGTATTGTACATAAAGAAACAAGTTTGAATCTACTGTATGCAGGAAAAATAAATGATGTCAGTTATTTAAATTTAGTAATATTTTAAAAACAAACAAATTATAAAAAACCCTAAAAAAACATTTTGATTTCCTCCACTGTTACTGCTTTGAGGCTTTGAAGAAAGATATTTTGGCCATTTTACAGTGGGGTTTTGTTGAAATGTTATGAAGGTTTATTGCAGTGTGTATAGCTCTTTGAACAACCTCAATTTAGAGCAACAAACCTTTAATATTGAAAGGACCAACAAACTGTTGGCTCGTCTGAACCATCAATCAGGAAATAAACCTGGACATCTAATAGGAACCAGGAAGTTGAAATCAGATTAGGATAGGTTTACAATCCCTTCTTTAAGAACTTTGCGAACTTACCTAACAAAATTGGAAGAAACAAAACTTAAGAAACTTCAGGTGTGTCCTTATATATTACTCCTGTAAGATTTCCTCAGCTTTGCTCTGATTCTAGTAACCAAACAAAATGATTTCATTTTAAAATGTGTCAAAATGACTCTTTCAGATAAAAATAATGTTAACTCAGAAAAAAAACTCTCCTTTATCATGTGAAGCTTCCCTGCGGGCTGGGTTCTAAGCCCCTCCCCCTCCATAAACAAATGCATAATTTTCTTTGGTAAATTAAATCAAACCCACCTCATAGAGTGTTTTCAGTTGTTGCTTCCTGTCGTTTTTACAGTGYTATTGTTGGCTCAAGTGTTTTATCATTTATCTAAAATGTTTAGCTGTTAATTAATTATTACATGATTTATTTAAAAATGCACCATGGCTGCACCCTTAAAATGTCATGGCTTCAGTTGTGAACAACAGAAGAAGACARAACATTATGTCAAGATTTCCTTAACAGCAAAAATTCTGAATGCAGCCAAACCCAACACCAGTCCATAAACATTCATTTTGCCTTCTGTTTCTCAATACACGGTTCTTTTGACCAAATTTTAAGGTTGTTTGCAAATGAAAACAGCAGCAGCAGCTTGCAATGGCATTGTCAGTGCAGCCTCGGGCACTTCTAGCAATATCTTCATGAACCGCAAAATAGTCTATGCCAGCTTGTTCATAGACTGACTGGATGTGTTGTGATGTAAACTATTGCATCGCTGTCRTGTTTTCATGACTATTTACATGGCTATTGTGGCAGAAATATTATAAATTTCCTGCTGGAAGTGCCCTCAAGCTGCACATCCAGCAGCTTCTGCTGACAGCTGCACTTTCAAACAACCACAGATTTCTTTGTTTATAACCATGGAGTTTGAGACTGAGGGTGGTGTAATGTTTATGACATAACGTTCCCACAAACCACTATGAAACTTTAGAAAATGGAGCTGTTTAAAGGTTTGGTCTTAGCCATTTTCAGAATAGCCGTGAGCTCATCAATCCCTTCAGATTTGAACTCTTCCTCTCTAAAGCTTGTCTGTTTAAACAAGATATTAATAGTTTCATTGCCTTTTACAGAACTCTGCTTCAAAATGGCTAAAATACCCCTTTAAGCCCTGGGAAGTTGTGGATAGACGAGTGCAGAAGCAGCAGCTCACTGTTGTGAAACAGGACAGTTTAGAGGAGTTAGGTAATAAATTCCTGTACCAGGAATTATATTTCCATCGTCCTAAAACACTGTGGTAATTCAGGGTGAWAATCTCTTAGTGTTGGAATAAATGATTCAAACTAACAGATCTAGAAAAAGAATCTGCAGTTTTGGTAATTAAGAAGGATTTTTTAGTGTTAAAACTTTTTCTCTCYAATGTCTCAGGGTGTTGTGTTTTTAAGTTGACATTTGGGCAAAGCTKAGTTTTTACAAGTTGTGTTGATTTAAATGAATGATCCTGTAATTATGAAGGGAAAAAATGYAGAAAATTTGATGCAATTCTGAGACACTATTGAATCTTTATTGAAATTGGAAAAAATATATAAAATAAAGAAATGTCTTTTAAGAATGTGTTTCTGTGGTTTGTTGCAGTACCAGGGTTTAAAGATATTCCTCGGCGTCAGAGCATGCCTCAGATTGAGGCCAGTTATGGATGTTCTCAAAGATATTTATAAGCACAGAGAAAGTGCTGCTCAGGACTCTGGAGTAAAAGCTAAAAGTAGCAGCTGCAGTAATCATTTTCTGCTGACAGCAGCCAAGGACCTGCTCCGGGGCTCTAGAAAGGTTTCAGTTTTAGCTGATAAAAGCAATAATCTGGGTGATATCTTAGCTTAAATCATCATCTTACTAGTACCACAGTAGTACAATTTGTGTGTGTGTGTTAAGAAAATAATAAGAGATATTAACAGATAACAGTAAAAACTTTGAGCATGCAAAGGAATAACCCCAATATCTGTTTTTTTGGTATTTATTTTTTCTGGTAACTGTGTTTCCCCAATATCTATATTTCTCAGTATATGTTCCACAGTATTCATGTTTCACAGTACCAAGGTTCCACAGTATTTATGTTCCACAGTACCTATGTTTCCATTTTTTTCAGTACCTATGTTTTCCAGTACCTGTGTTTCCCAGTACCTACGTAGGTTTCCCAGTACCTATGTTCTCGGTTTCCCAGTACCTTTGTTCCACAATATTTATGTTCCACAGTACCTACAGTATGTTCCCATGTTTCCCAGTACCTATATTTTCCAGTACCTATGATTCCCAGTAGGCCTGCAAATGTTCCAAGTTGCCCATGTTTCACAGTACCTACATTTTCAAGTTTCCCAGTACATACTGTATTTTACCAGATATTGACAAGAACTTGGTTTAAGGTTCAAGTATATCACCAGACACAGAGTATGTAGAGTTGATTAAAAGCAAGCAACTGGAGGGAGTCTGGAGCCTCACTCTGGAACAATATTTTCAGGCAGGTGAGAAGGACTTGGTAGAGACTGGTCTCAGGGCTTGGAGTGGTGGGCAAACCACTGGAGAGAGAAGCCTTCCTGTCTGCCTCGCTCTCACACTGTAAGGAAACTCACTTGCCGGGACCTCCTGTCTGTCTGCTACCCTACCTGAAATCCTGCCTTACTCACCTTTTGGTTCCAAGATTCCAGGGAATCTTAGAAAGGACCCACAAAGCGGGGRCCCAGTTTGTGGTTCTCACTCCGAAGGGGAAGACCATTAGTGGACTGCTAACCTGTCTTGGATAGTGAAGACAGGTGGCTGGAACCCATAGACTGTGTAGAAAGGAGATAGGCCTGCAGTACAGGATGGCAAGATGTTCAAGGCTGAGAGGGCAGRCATGACGGATGATACAGCATGAAATGTGACAGGTATGTTTCTCAGTAGCAGTGTTCCCGGGTACCTATGTTTCCCAGAATCTATATTACCATGTTTTCCATTACCAATACTTCTGGGTATATGTGTTTCCCAGTACCAATGTTCCTAGGTACCTAAGTTTCCCAGTACCAATGTTCCCAGGTGCCTAAGTTTCCCAGTACCAATGTTCCTAGGTACCTATGTTTCCCAGTACCTATGTTTCCCAGTACCAATGTTCCCAGGTACCTAAGTTTCCCAGTATCCACGTTTCCCAGTAATCTATGTTTCCCAGTACCTATCTTCCCAGGTACCTTTGTTTCCCAGGTRCSTACTGTATGTTCCCCAGTACCTATGTTTCCCAGTTACTATGTTTCCCAGTACCTATGTTTCCCAGGTACTTACATGTTTCCCAGTACCTATGTTACCAGTGTATTTATTTTTTCCAGTACCTATGTTCCTAGGTATCTATGTTTCCAGTACCTATGTTTCCCAGTACTTATGTTCCCCAGTACTTKTGTTTCCCAGGTACCTATGTTCCCCAATAACCTACAGTATRTTTCCCAGTACCTATGTTTCCCAGGTACCCATGTTCCCCATTATGTTTCCCAGGTACCTACAGCGGGTAAAATATGTATTGAACACGTCAACATTTTTCTCAGTAAATATATTACTAGAGGTGCTAATAACATGAAATTTTCACCAGATGTCGGTAACAACCCAAGTGATCCATACATACAAAGAAATCAAACCATAAATGTTCAGAAATGAAGTTAATCATGGAAGAAGAACCTCAGCTTAGCCTGTTAGCCTTTGGACTAGTGCCAATGCTATATTGCCTTATACTGTATGTATTAGCTCGGCGCTAGTGCGACAAACAAGCTAAACTGAGG